GCATTACAAATCAATTTACAAACACTCCAGACAGTACCGAGAATAAGATTTATACTTTGACCATATGCCAGTAAAAATAAAAAGGAAATTACTACATATACACATAAAATATAAATGAATTTTATTTATGAAAGTATAGATGTACAGCAAATAGGAAAGATAATACATTAAAAGAACATATACTATAACCAGGCAGAGTTTTATCTCAGGAATTTAAGGAAGTTTTAATATTACAAAAACTCTTATTTTAATCATATTAAGCAATTTAAGTGATAAAAATATGATTGTATCAAAAGATACCAATTCCTTTTATCAAGCTTTTAGCTTCCAACAAACAAGAATAGAAGATGTTATTTCTGTTATCCTAACAAAGAACATTTGTTTAAAACCAACAATTAACTTCATATGTAATGAAGAAATATCAAAAAAACATTACAATTTTATGAAACACAAAAATAAAATAGAAATACCTATGATTTTATATTTAGAAAAAGCAAACAGACCATCTAAAACTGTTAGAACAAAGACAATCACCAAAAGATACATATTTTAAAAGTTAATAGCTTTCTAATAATAGAGATTCCCATACTGACAGCAACATACACATATAAAACAGCCAAGAAAGAATTAAGGTATATATAAAACCTAGACAAAAAGAAGAACCAAGTAGAATGAAAAAAAAAATCAAGAAATGTGATAATAATGGAGACTAAATCCCTCAATGGAAAGAATTACTATCATAAATGTAAGTCTGAAAGAGTTAACTTTAGATGTAGACAAGTCAAATTGAAGCACTAAAAAGATGTTGACCTGATAGAACACATTCCTTAGGGGGAAAAAAGATTTTTTAATATTGGAAAAAATATGGCTAGGCATAGTGGCTCATGCCTGTAATCCCAGCATATTAAGAAGCCAAGGCGGGAGGACTGCTTGAGCTTAGGAGTTCAAGACCAGCCTGGGCAACATAGTGAGACCTTGTCTCTACTAAAAACCTAAAAAAATTAGCTGAGTATGGTGGCATGCACCTATAGTCCCAGCTACTAGGGAAGCTGAGGCAAGAGGATGGCTTGAGCCCAAGATACCAAGGTTGCAGAGAGCGATAATTGTGCCCTGCACTCCAGCCTGGGCAACAGAGCAAGACCCTGTCTCAAAAAAATGTAGGAGAAGAAGGAAAAACAATGAACACCAATATGCTACTGATTCACACGGATTCAAAGACAAAGTATAATCCATTATATGGCAAAAAAAAATATGTCTTCACTACTAAGTGTTACAACTACCAAGAATAAATAATGCTTTGCTCACAGCTAGGGAGTAAAAACACACAGCATTGCAACATAAAGTAAGTGCTATGCTAGGCCTGTGAGAATGCTACAAGAGCCACCTCTTTTGGAGTCAAGAAAGGCCAACCTGGCATTTTGAAGAATCCAATTTTGCCAGGTTGTGAGGTAGGAAGGAGGAAGAAGGAATGACACTTATAAAAGAGGGAACATCAGGCTGGGTGCAGTGGCTCATGCCTATAACCCCAGCACTTTGGGAGGCCGAGGTGGGCGGATTACCTGAGGTCAGGAGTTCAAGACCAGCCTGACCAACATGGTGAAACCCCATCTCTAGTAAAAATACAAAAATTAGCCAGGCGTGGTGGTGCACACTTATAATCCCAGCTACTCGGGAGGCTAAGGCAGGAGAATCACTTGAACCTGGGAGACACAGGTTGCAGTGAGCCGAGATCATGCCACTGCACTCCAGCCTGGGCGACAGAGTGAGACTCCATCTCAAAGGAAAAAACAAAAAACAAAAACAGGGAACATCATTTACAGAGAATCACAAGACGAAATAGCACATTCCAGAAATTCCAAGTAGGTCAAGTATATACAATGTTGGTCTGCATTTTAAAAACTCGACTAAAGTCAACATTCAATCAGAAAATGTCTCATAACAATCTGAATTTCTGGCTTCTTTTTAAAAAACTGGGCAATATGACAAAGTGGGCCCACATTCCCACATGGATACAAGAGGCAGGCATCCCTTTTAGATGGGACAGTTTGCCACAGCACTTCTCCCTTCTCCCACTTCTCTTGCATCCAGTTCACTTCATCCATTTAACTCACCTTTCTAGTCCCTGCAGGCGTCTGAATTTAGGAATACTACCCTACATGATGAGGACCAAGGAAGGTTTCAGCAGGAAAAAAGCCGTATGATTGGGTTTGCTTTCAAAACATCAGGCAGCCAGATGGAAGGCTGGAGAAGTGAAGAGTGGCACGGAGAACAGTGAAATCCACAAAAGCCTATTCTATTAAAGATTAAAATGGGGCTACCATCACTGCAGTGGGAACAGGGCACCTTTTACCAAAAACTCCCGAAACACATGTCTTGAAAACCACGGAGTTTACGCATCTGTGGGATATATGCAGGAAGGTGATGAGGGTTTGAAACAAGGCAGTAAGTACGGGGTGGAAAGAAAGGGGCAGAGAAGGATAACTATTTGAAAGGCTTATGAGGGGAAGAAACTCTCCAACACTGGGTAACCAATTTGACAAAGGGAACAAGGAGAAAGAAAAGTATAGGACAATTTACAGCTTTTTGCCTATGCCATTAGGTAGATAGTGGGGACATTCAAAAATAAGGAAATAAAAGGAGGAACAAGACTAGAGGGAAATTCATAATTCAACTTAGAATATGTTGAATTTGTAGAGTCTACAGACATGCGACTTTACATCAAAAACCCCGATAAATTACCAAAGAAAACTCTTCTCCAACTATAACGCAGTAACTTTCTAACAGCCGAATCATGAGTGAAAATCAGAGAAAGACAGGTACGGTTATATAAAATATTTTACAGAATGAATGAATACCAACAGAACTAAGATTAAAGTAGACTATTATAGAATTGAATAAAATACTACAACAAAGATGACAGAGGACCAATAACTTCACATATAAAAGCATAATGATAAGATATAAAAACAGAACATAAACAAGTAAAGGTCCACCAAGTCTCTCAATGTAAAGGAAATGCATTTATACCCTACACTGTTTCCATTAAAAATTTAAGATAGCTCACTACAAAAATAGTGAATGATTAGTAAACAGTAATCAAATAGTAAAATGATAAGTGTAAATAATAGTAATAATTAAATGTAAAATAATTTTTTTACTTATCACCAGAAGAAATCTGGACTAGAAAAAAAGAAACAAAATATGCAGAGCATAAGGGCTTTCAGAAATATTGCTGACAATGAAAGTAAAAAGGTCAACACAAGTGGGATGACTCTTACTATCCATTAGGAGAAAACACAGCCATTTCTCACTTTAAAAAGGACACTTTTGCTTTTCCCCGAATTGAAGAGATAGCATTTCATGATAAAAATTTCTCTACATTAATTTAGCTTTATGAAAACTTATTACATTGTCTCTGTTTCTCAAATGTTATGTTACTGCAGGACAGTTGAATTTAAAAAAAAAAAAACAACAACAATCTACACAGTGACATTTGGGGATAACTACAATAAACAGAACAAAAAATTTAATTTCATAAAGCTGCTTCTTGTGGTACCCCTTGATGAAGATAAACCACAAAATATTGAAATGTAACTCAATGAACATAGCTAGATAGGTGGAGAGTAGGAAGGAAGGGAGAAGGGAGAAAGGGGAAAGGGAACATGAAATGCGTGAGGTATACAGATATCTGATGGTCCATCCTGAGCCACAGGAAGAATGGATACAATTTAAAGGAATGGATAAACTGCCCATCCTTCAAACTATAGCAACTGGGCTTTGGTAAAAGTTCAATAAGAGATGAAGAGTAGAAAGAGTCTCACGCCTGTAATCCCAGCACTTTGGGAGGCCGAGGCAGGCAGATCACCTGAGGTCAGGAGTTCGAGACCAGCCTGACCAACAAAGTGAAACCTCGTCTCTACTAAAAATACGTAATTAACTGGGCGTGGTGGCACATGCCTGTAATCCCAGCTACTTGGGAAGCTGAGGCAGGAGAATCGCTTGAACCCAGGAGGTGGAAGTTATGGTGAGCTGAGATTGTACCATTGCACTCCAACCTGGGCAACAAGAGTGAAACTGTCTCAAAAAAAAAAAAAAAAAAGAGTAGACAGAGTGAGGTAGAAGTCTCTGGAGAGAACCCAAAGGTTATATACTCTGTACTACTGGCTGAGGATGGACCTACAAAAATTGAGTATCATCCAAACACAGTATTGCTGAGGTCCTTTCATGAAAATTGTGAAGTCTCATTAAAGGCTGTCCCACATCAGCATAGATGAGGACCCCATTAATAAGAGGCCAAATGTAAAATGAAAAAATAAGGACAATCAGAAAGCAGACACCAGAAAACTATTCACTCATATATATATTTTTAAAAATGCAAATGACAGTATCCCTTAGCATCTATAAGCTAAGCAAAAGTAAAAAATAGCTGGAAAAATTCAATATTCTGCAGATTTTAAGACAGGAGTTATACTTGTTAGAGGCTGGGTGCAGTGGCTCACGCCTGTAATCCTAGCACCCTGGGAGACTGAGGCAGGCAGATTGCTTGAGCCCAGGAGTTCAATAATAGCCTGGACAATATGGCAAAATACCCTCTCTACAAAAAAAATACAAAAAACTAGCCAGTAGTGGTGCATACCTGTAGTCCCAGCTACTTAGGAGGCTGAGGTGGGAGGATCACCTGAGCTCAGGAAGTCAAGGCTGCAGTGAGCCGAGATCACGTCACTGCACTCCAGCCTGGACAACAGAGCAAGATCATCTCAAAAAAAAATTGTTAGAAAAAGGCAAGTAGTTAAATAAACTATGAGATATTAATGTATCTGTGCAAAAACATGATTATGTATGATGTGAACAAATATAGAAAGATGCTTATGAAACAATATTAAGTAAAAAAAAAAAAAAAAAAGTGTGCAAAGTACTCTATGATTGCCACAATATAAACTGACAGAAAAACTATGGTGGACCACACAAGTCAGCAGAGCTCCATCCACCCAGCCTGAGGAAAGCACCTAGGAGCTGCAGGTAGAAGCTGCCATCTTTAGCACTTGCCCTGGCCTGGCCCCATCTGCACTCAATTTTAGCCTCTTTGCCTGCTCAAACTCCAACCCCATCCCCAACCACCCATGCCCAACTGTATTCTTCCAAAAGGACATTTTCTCCTTTTCCATCTTCTTTACTTCTCACAACACACTGTGAGGTAGATGTTATTATGACCATTACAAATCTATCATTAAATGAATGAATGGTTACAAATTAAAGCTAAACAGAAGGCTTGTTTTCAGATCTTCCAAGCTGGACAAGCTTCTTCTTAGTTCACTGACCCCCTTTAAGGTTTACCTGGGCAGGGCTTCTTAGCCGACTGAGCAGGGACAGAAGCCAGAGGACCGGCTTCTGCGGCTCCAGCCGCGTGCACTCCTTGCTTCTCAAGGCCTTGTGAATGCTCAGTAGAAGGCGATGAATTATCTACAAAGAGGAAAGGGGTAAGTTTTCCTATGATACCCCAAGTTTCATTTTATGTTGGGAGCAACAGCCCAGCTAACCAGACATCAGACAAGACTCTCAACACCTGGATTTGGAGAGTTCATGTCTTCTGGGTTTTAAAAAATTCTGTGTGTGTTTGTGTATAAAAAATAGAGAGAGAGAGAGAGAGCAAGCGGAAAGTCATTATGTCACAGGAGAGACTCACCAAGCAAAACCAGATGAAGACAGTGACAGGCCCTAGACACAGCATAGGGTAGAAGGTACCTGCCAACCTGCCACCACTCACGGTTCCCTGAACAGCCCTGACACTGGTATATGCAGAGCCCTCCCTGCCTGCACTCACTACGTCTGACACTGACATCCCAAAATATGAAAAGCTTAGCATGGCAAAGGTTTGGCAACTCCACTTTTGGTGATTTACCTTTCCCAACAGCAATTCTCCTAAGCCTACCACCCACTGATTTTCAGGTACCAGCAAATGTAACGGAATAAGTAACCGAATGCATTATAATTAAAATAACACCAAATCACACTTTGCAGACTTTAAAAAACTACTAAAGGCCAGGTGCAGTGGCTCACGCCTGTAATTCCAACACTTTGGGAGGCCAGGGCTGGAGGACTGCTTGAGCCCAGGAGTTCAAAACCAGCCTCGTCAACACAGCAAAACCTTGTACCTACAAAAGAAAAATTTAAAAAAAAAACAGCTGGACATGGTGGCATGTGCCTATAGTTCCAGCTACTAGGGAGGCTGAGCAGAAAGATCACTTGAGCCCAGGAGTTCCAGGCTGCAGTGAGTCATGATTGCGCCACTGTACTCCAGCCTAGGCAACAGAGCAAGATTCTGTCTCCAAAAACAATAACAAAAATTACTGAAAGACTATGGGAATATATTTATAATGGGAATATGCAATATTCCTAGCAAGATGAGAAAATATGTTGTATAAAGTAGAAATTTAAGATATTAAATTAACATGTACTTTGAGCACAACTGGATTTGTGTTTGTATATAACAGAACTAAATGGCCTATAATAAAATTGTAACAAGTATAGTAGATTAGAGTGAGCAAAATCATATACAATTTGCATTTCCAGTTGCTATTTTCCAAATTGTTCTACAATGTCATCAAAATTACTTAAAAATTAACAAAGCCAAAAATTCTATTTATGAAAAGAAAGTCATCCCTACATTAATCTTACTTTTCCAGTCACTGGTCCATCTCCTTCCTCTTTTTCCTAACCACGTTGTTAAAACTGTTCTACTGGGCCAGGCGCGTGGCTCATGCCTATAATCCCAGCACTTTGGGAGGCCGAGGCAGGCAGATCATGAGGTCAAGAGATTGAGACCATCCTGGCCAACATGGTGAAACCCTGTCTCTACTAAAAACACAAAAATTAGCTGGGCGTGGTGGCATATGCCTGTAGTCCCAGCTACTCAGGAGGCTGAGGCAGGAGAATCACTTGAACCCGGGAGGCAGAGGTTGCAGTGAGCCACGATCGCGCCACTGCACTCCAGTCTGGGTGACAGACCAAGACTCCGTCTCAATAAAAAACCTGACATCCAATTTACCAACAAGCTACTGTTCAATCACTTGGGTAGATTTTAGTATCTGGCAGTGACAGTGCTAAAGATAAACTCCATCCCTTTCCTCCTTTGGTTAGGATCACCATTCTATACAATAAAATGTTGCCTGTTCTAAATTTTCCCAAGAACAAAGCTGAAATTAACATAGGAACTGCTTTGCCCCCTGACTCACTTTCATGTCAGTGTTCTTATTTCTTTACAGTGAAGCAGCCCAAAACTATATCTCTGATACTTCTCTGTCCTCCTTGGATTTTCCTACCTGTATTTTCAAGCATCTTGTGCAGCTTCATATGCTTGTAGGTGGAGATTATCTGAAAATTAACAACACTTGGAATATTCAGTCCTTGGTCCTGCAGCAGCTTCAAGGATGCAGCATGGATAAGCTGATGGGACCGTTTGCAGGTCTGGAGTTTGCACTCTCCCTTGACAAAGGATTTGCACACGTGAAACTTGTTGCATTTATCCTTCAGGTTGCAGTAGCCATAGAGGGCTTCCCCTTTGTTGTAGAGCAAACAGACCTGGTACAGAAATGAGGCAACACCTGAAACACTAGTTTTCTTTTATTTATTTTATTTATTTTAGTTATTTATTTATTTATTTTGGGAGATGGAGTCTCGCTGTGTCACCCAGGCTGGAGTGCAGTGGCACCATCTTGGCTCACTGCAACCTCCATCTCCTGGGTTCAAGCGATTCTCCTGCCTCAGCCTCCTGAGTAGCTGAGACCACAGGCATTCACCACCACAGCCAGGTAATTTTTGTATTTTTAGTAGAGACAGGGTTTCACCATGTTGGCCAGGATGGTCTCCAACTCCTCACCTCAGGCGATCTGCCCGCCTCGGCCTCCCACAATGCTGGGATTACAGGTGTGAGCCACCACACCCGGCCAATATTAGTTTTCACTCCATCTTTCAAGCCAAAAACTATAGCTTCTCTAACTAAACTAAGACTAAATGACTCCTTCTGATCACCAGTGGCTGTTAAAGTCTTGGGGTGAAAGCCTGATGATAGCGCAGTGGTGCTAACCATACTCCAGCTGCTGTGGGTACTGGCTGCTCGTGACTCACAGTTGCCCCTCTCTTACTTTACACTCTCAGCTGACCTGCCCTCTGCCCCCAAGGCCTGTAGCCAATGAATGACTTAGACAAAGCTAAAAAAATGCTGAAGTGCCTCAAAACTAGACTCAGTGTGATCTTTGTTCCACAGCTCCCCATGAATCAAGTCAAGGCCAGACCTAATGTGACTGTAGCTTTTCCTTCCTTAGACCCTGCTTCCCTCTCTCCCATACTGGGTTTTCCTGAAAAGCCCACCCTCAAAAAAACTCACATGCACCTCAGTCTCTATCTCAGGCTCTGCTTCCAGGGAAACCAATTTCAACAGGTGGCACAAAGATATAATTTATGATCCAGACAAGGGCATTTTTAGGGTGCAAGGGAGCACTATTAATAATCACCCTGGGACAACTCAGACAAACTGGGTCTATCCCAGACACACCAAGACCACACTGAAGGGGAACTTTATAATGATGGGATCAGGCTGTTGACCCTGAAACCACGCATCAGTCTTAGCCTCTCACCCAAGGATGACATCATATGCCTCCCGATGTGATGCAACAGGAAACAGAACTGTCCAGGTTTTACTATGAACATCCGACATCCCCAGAAACCCCTTAGTCCCAGGCAAATGGGATGGTGAGTCACCCTAACAATGCTCCACATGTAAAAAAATTCCTGCTATAAAATAAATCCTGGCCGGGCGTGGCGGATGATGCCTGTAAATCCCAGCACTTTGGGAGGCCGAGGCAGAAGGATCACCTGAGGTCAGGAATTCAAGACCAGCCTGGCCAACACGGTGAAACCCCAACTCTACTAAAAATACAAAAATTAGCCGGGCATGGTGGCACACACCTGTAATTCCAGCTACTAAGGAGGCTGAGGCAGGAGAATCACATGAACTGGGGAGGTGGAGGTTGCAGTGAGCCAAGACTGTGCCACTGCACTCCAGCCTGGGCGACAGAGCGAGACTCCGTTTCAAAAATAAATAAATAAACAAAATAAAGTAAAATAAATCCTAAACCTGACCAAAATTTGAGGGATACAGGAACATGTTAAATACTACTACAGGAATGTAATCAGTCAAATCTAAAATATGGGAAATCCTACAAGACACAGACGACCTGGTTTAAAACGAAATAGCATCCTATTTATAATTGTGATGCCAATTTTCTAAAATAAATTCATAACTTTAATGCAATTCCTACCCTTCTCAAAGAATTCCTTTAAAATACTTTTAGGAATTTAAGTGATTCTAAAGCTTATCTGGAAAAGGAAACACGAATTGATTAAACAAGCAAACAAAATCAGCCAGGCACAGTGGCTCACGGCTGTACTCCTAGCAGTTCGGGAGACCAAGGATGGCAAACCGCTTCAGCCAAGGAGTTCGAGACCAGCCTAGGCAACACAGCAAGACCCTGTCTCTACAAAAAAATTTTAAAAGTAGGCAGGGCACACCGGCTCACACCTGTAATCCTAACACTTTGGAAGGCCAAGGCAGGCAGATTGCCTGAACTCACGAGTTTCGGACCAGTCTGGGCAACATGGCGAAACCCTGTCTCTACTAAAAACACAACAAATTAGCTAGGCATGGTGGCACATGTTTGTAGTCCCAGCTACTCGGGAGGCTGAGGCACGAGAATTGCTTGAACCTGAGAGGCGGAGGTTGCAGTGAACTAAGATCACGCCACTGCACTCCAATCTGGGTGACAGAGCGAGACTATCTACAAAACAAACAAAAACAAAACAAAACCAAAAAAAGTATCTGGAGGCCAGGCACTGTGGCTCACAACTGTTATCCCAGCACTTTGGGAGGCCGAGGTGGGCGGATCATTTGAGGTCAGGAGTTCAAGACCAGCCTGGCCAAAACGACAAACCCCATCTCTACTCAAAATACAAAAAATTAGCTGGGTATGGTGGCGAGCGCCTGCAATCCCAGCTACTCAGGGGTCTGTGGCAGGAGAATCGCTTGAACCAGGGAGTTGGAGATTGCAGTGAACCAAGATCACACCACTGCACTCCAGCCTAGGTGACAGAGCAAGAGTCAGTCTCAAAAAACAAAACAAAAAAAAAGTAGCTGGGTGTGTTGATGAACACCTGTAGTCCCAGCTACTAGAGAGGCTGAAATGCAAGGATTGCTTGAGCCCAGGAGGTCAAGGTTGCAGTGAGCTATGATCAGCCTGGGCAACATGGCAAAACCCTGTCTCTGCACTCCAGCCGGGACAACACAGCGAGACCATGTCTCAAAAAGAGTAAATAAATAAACTTTAAAAATGAAAGATAAACTACTTTAGTATGATAGTGGTTCAAGAATTGGAGATCATGAAAAATAGATCCTAGACCTACTCCAAATATTGGAACAGCCTGTTCCTTACAGATTTGTTAGAATTAAGGAGAATAGGGATATGTAAGTCAAAGGGAACAAAGTTTCAATTAGACAGGATGAATTTCTGGAAATCTACCGTACAGCATGGTGACTGTAGTTAATAATAACGTAATGGCCAGGCACAGTGGCTCACACCTGTAATCCCAGCGCTCTAGGAGGCCGAGGAAGGCGGATCATGAGGTCAGGACATCGAGACCATCCTGGCTAACATGGTGAAACCCCATCTCCACTAAAAAAAATACAAAAAATTAGCTGGGCATGGTGACAGGCGCCTGTAGTCCCAGCTACTCTGGAGGCTGAGGCAGGAGAACAGCGTGAACCCGGGAGGCGGAGCTTGCAGTGAGTCGAGATCGCGCCACTGCACTCCAGCCTGGATGACAAAGTGAGACTCCATCTCAAAAAAAAAAAAAAAGAAAAAGAAAAGAAATTTTTAAAAAAATAACATACTGTATACCTAAAAATTGCTGTCCTTACCACACCCAAAAAATAATAGCTATGTGAAGTAACGGTATGCTAATTAGCTTAATCATTGCAATCAATTCACAATGTAAATATATTAAAACATCACATTATACACTGTAAATATAAAATTTTTGTCAACTATACTTCAATACAGACAAAAATTTGATAGAATTCAACTGTAAAACTACATAAGCCTGGCCAGGCAGTGGCTCACACACCTGTAATCCCAGTACTTTGGGAGGCTGAGGCAGGGGGATCACTTGAGGTCAGGCATTTAAGACCAGCCTGGCCAACACGGTGAATTGCTGTCTCCACCAAAAAGTACAAAAATTAGCTGGGCATGGTGGCACATGCCTATAGTCCCAACTATTCAGGAGGCTGAGGTAGGAGAATCACTTGAACTCAGGAGGCAGAGGCAACAGTGAGCCGAGGTACTTCTGGCCTGTGTAACAGAGTAAGACCCTGTCTCAAACAAAACAAAACAAAACAAAACAAAACAAAAACTATGTAAGTCTGATGTTTTCTTGTGCAAGCCTTCTAATGCTTTGAGGTGTGTTTAATGCTTTTATTTTAAAAATTTTTATGAGACTATTTTGGCTTTCCATTTCTTCTTGAACCCATTTTGACGAGCTATATTTTTCTAGAAATTTGTCCATTAATGCACCAGCATGAAACTTATTTGTCTACTGTCTTTTTTATTGAGAGAGTGGTAAAAGCAATCATCAGGCATTTCATACAAGAGATGTGAGGCACCATTCATGCCTCATGCACTGTGTTTTTCCATGGTCCCTGCTGTCCACATGGTCACGTTTTGTGCCATATGTCACCTACTTCCAGTCCCAGGTGATGGGAACAAGTGGAGGCAGGGGGGAGGCTCCTGTTGTTAGTGCAACCAACCCCTCAGCTGCTCACAAAACACTTAAGTAGTCTAATATGACAAGGTGAGGCTGGGCCCAGGATACACCCCAAAAAAGAGCACACCAAAAAAAATTCGATAGATTTGACAAAATAAAAATACTAAACTTCTATAAATCAAAAAGTACATAAAATTAAAAGGCAAATAGCAGCAGCACCACACCTCCTCTCTGAGAGAGGAAGGACTGGACCCAGCCTCATAGCTGCAGCCACCCTCCTCACCCTTTCTGCCAATAACCTGCTTCAGCTACTGCTTGGATCTATTTCAGGCAACATGGTTGGCTGGAATGCATCTGGCTCAAAACCATGACGTACCAGACTTGGCTTCAGTGCTCGAAGAAATGAAACAGGTTACGCATGTCAGGAAGAAACCTCCTTGTTCCTGAGATCAACTCCAGGACTGCCTTCGGGGTACAGATTCTGCTGCCTTGAGGGCAGCCTCTGCCACCTGCACCAAAGGCTCCAGCTCCTGCCTCTAGTCTTGTGGCTATCTTCCATTTTAGACTCTGAAATGCCTTAGAGTTAAAATCGGGCCACAATTATGAACTATCCTCTGTTTTCTCAACATCTTCCCTTCTTTCCATCCCTCTTCTGGCCAAGTAGAGGTGTCTATGACAGCATCACTGTGCTAGATTAGAAAATCTTACTTTTAATTGGTGGTCTTAATTGATGTTCCAATTTTCTCTTTGGATTTGTACTATTTTGTTTTTAAAACTTCTTTGTATATGGCTAAACCCAAACAAACATACTATTTTGCCATGATAGCAATTATAAAGGGTACCTTTAAAGCGTGTGAAACTGAATCATGTTGCTTCAAAGCAATTAAAATATCTAAAGCCAAAAGAAAAGTAAATGGGGAAAGTACTTGTAACGAATGTGACATGAGGGTGACTCCTCGGTGACTCACCTCTGGTAAAAGACAAGGGTCATTCTGCAAAAGCAGGATCCGAAGCTGGGCTTCATTGAGACCAAAAAGTCCATGGTTTTTCAGCACCTGCATGTTGACAGGTGTGTGGATATCATGGGAAAGGGTACAGGTAGACCTAAAAGAACAAAGTCCTCGGTCAGATGCCCAGGTGAAGAAGGACCAGTCTGTCCAATTCCTTGCCTTGAACAGCTTTCAATTTATTTAATACATGTGAAGTTGAAAAATTTTCATGAAACCGGGGATAGCATGGCCTAATAAGCACTGATGGAAAATAAGAAAGTTGGGTTGAAGCAACTCCGTTCCCAGGGTCATTTGAATTTTCAGTAGGAATGCTTTGAAGCCAAGGATTCACTTCGCTTCAGGATGCACTTCGCACTTCGCCTGAGGATGCGCATCTGTTCTGTAGGCGACTGTACCTGGCCTTCTCCCTGGCCTTCTCCCCGGCCTTCTCCCCGGCAACAGCTGCCCACCCCAACAGTCCACCAACGATAAAAAGAAAGCGCCCCTATCCCCAGCACCGCTTTGGCGGTGTGTATGGCTAGAGACAACCAAGGAAAATTCGGGGATGTGAAGCACAGCCTGGGGTCAGGAGGCAGCCCCGAACCCCAGCTCTGGCAGTCAGGAACCACAGGGCCTCACCCAAGCCCTCCAGCCCTGTTTCCTGGGGTGGGACTGGCTCAGCGCTGTTAAACCTAGAGGGCGCAGACCTGCTTCTGCAAAAGTGTGTGGGTATGGGGGAACGGGCGATTTCCGGATAAAGGGTCCAGGGATCTCACGGGATCCTCAGACGCCCCTTGCCCCCCACCTCCCGCCAAAGATCACCGGAGTAAGTGAACTCCAACGTCCCAGTCCGAATTTAACCCGGCCGCATCGCGCAGGATCCGGGGGGCGGGGGCAGCAACTTTTCCAGCGGGGGCGGTAGAGCCGTCTCCATGGAGAGGACCTTCGCGCCTTTCCGCCCAGCTGCTGGGAGTGCGGGGGAGGCCGCCCCGGGAAGGGCCTGCGGGAGGGGGTCGTCCAGCCCCGCGTCCCCGGCCCCGGCCGGGACGAAGCCCCGCTTCCCGTCGCTCCCGCTTCCAGCCGGACGGCCAGGCCAGCGGCCAGCGCCCACAGTCCCCCCCGCCGTCGCCTTCTCACCAGCAGTCCCGGTTGGGGCACTTGCCCAGCATGTGCCGGCGGCAGAAGTGCAGCTGGTCGCAGGCCTGGCACTCGCCGCGCTGGTAGCGGGCGCAGAGGCGCACAGAGGACACGGCCACAACCCTCCAGGCGGAGGTGCCGCCACCGCCCACCGCGCCGGCCGCCGCCTCGGCCTCCGCGTCCCCGAGGCCCTCCTGGGTCTCCACCTCCTGCAGCAGGAAACGCTCGGGCCCGGCGCGCTGCAGCACGTCCCGGAGCCTGGCCTCCGACAGCTCCACGTGGCCGCGCAGGTCCCGCAGGAACATGCGGCCGCCGTGGGCGCACAGCACCTTGGTGAGGAAGGAGCACACCGTGGGCTCCGCCATGGTCGCTGGCGCGGACCCTGTGCGCGCGGCGCCGAGAGAGAGCCGGGGCGGGCAGGCTCCTCCCAGTCACGTCCACGATTTCCAGCGAACATTCCGGGGATGGGCCTGGGCCTGGCGAGGGGTGGGCCTGCGGGAGGCCGGGCGAGGGGCGGCCCCGGCGCGTGGAAACAGAGTACGGGGCCTGCCGATCCCCTGGACGCGGAGTCTGGCGGGGACAGCGTTGATGGAGCGTCTGCTGTGCCCGGGCGCCGTTCAGGGCGAGGCCTAGCCTTGAGGAGCTTGTATAGTGGGAGTCACAAGGGACTCGCCAAGAAGTAAGACAACAACTGGTAGTGCTAGGGAGGCCTTCGGAGAAGGTGAAATAGGTAAAAAGTGGTAGGTGGTGAGTGGCCGGGCTGCTTCTGGGGAGGTGGCCACTAGCCACATGTGGCTGCTGAGCACTTCTGGGATTTGTTGTTGTTGTTGTTGTATTTTTGTTTTTATTTTTATTTTTATTTTTGGAGACAAGGTCTCACTTTATCGCCCATGCTGGAGTGCAGTGGCGCTATCATAGTTTGTTGCAGCCTGGAACTCCAGGGCTCAAGCGATCCTCCCACCTCAGCCTCCTGAGTAGCTGGGACCAAAGGTTCACACCACTAATTTTTTTGGTTTTTGTTTTGTTTTGTGGAAACAGGGGTCTCCCCATGTTGCCCAGGCTGGTCTCGAACTCCTGAAGCGCTCCACCTGCCCCCGCCTCCCAGAGCACTGGAATTACAGGCGTGAGCCACCCCGCGGGACTGCTGAGCTTTATTGGAAAGTGGCTAATCCGAATTGAGATGTGATGTAAGTGTGAGAAACACACACTAGATTTTGAAGACTGAGAATGAAAAAAAGAATGTAAAATATCTCATTAACTTTATATGAATCACATGTTAAACTGATAATATTTTGGATATATTTGGATAAATAAAATATTACGACAACTTCATGTGTTGCTTCTACTTTCCTAATGTAGCTACGAGGAAATTTTAAATTGCAAATGTGAATTACCTTATTTTTGTTGAGCGCCAGTCTAGACCTGCCTTAAGCATCCATGCTTTTTGTCCAACACCTTGCTTGTTTAATGAACATTTGTTGGGCCAACTACTAACGCAGTGACAGTACAAAGATGAATCAGACCATCACAGAACTCAGCCAGCTTAGCTGCTGTTTTACAAGGTGCTTGTGAGGATTAAATGCATTAATGTCGTGTGATGTAAAGAAGCTGGAGAGGAAGACAATTGGCCAGATGCCGGAAGACCTACGCTGCCATGCTGTGAAATACGGACTTATATCCCGAGAACTTTGGGAAGTCACTAAAGGATTTTCATCCGGGAAGTGTGGATGTCTCCTGAATGCCACTCAAGGTGTGTCACTCAGCTCTGAGCTTTAATGTCTTCTCTTCAGCAAAACCTTTCCTGACCTCTCAAATCAAAAGTAGCTCCCCAGTCTGCATGGAACTTACCACTGATATTTTTCCTGTTTATTGTTTTATATATTTGGCTATAGAATTCAGGCTCATGAAAGCAGGAACCTTGTTTTGTTCATTGCTGTATCCCTACCACCTAAAATAGTACCTGGCCGTATTGTAGGATAGGTGTTTTAGAAAAAACCCTGGCAGCAATGAGAAGAATGGATTTCTAGAAAAGCAAGACAAGGTGGGGAATAACAGAAAATAAACAGGATTTGAGGGACTACAACCCCAATATTATTTATGTTGAGTTTGCAGTGGACAACCCAAGGTAAGATGCTCAACAGGCAGGTGTATTCGGTATACAGGTCTAGACCTTGAGGGACATGAGAAGGGAAGGGATGTGGATTTGTGTTACATCAGAGTGTTAGGTAACTGAGAGTTGATAAGATCACCTGGCAAAAATGGAGAGTGTGAAAAAGCGGAGGTGGGGGGAAAGAACCTTGGCAAATACCCACATTAAATAAGCAAGTGGGGGAAGAGAAGAATAGGCAGTAGCCTGCGTCCCCTTGGCACTCAGTATTTGTTCCTGAACTCGCTGCCTAAGCTTTTTCCAACAGAAGGAGCAAGCAGCCAGCAGGAAAGGCAGGCTACAATTACCAAGGAGCCAACACCTCCAGGAAGAGCCCTCATCCAGGGATGCTGGGGAGTTGTTGGTTTGACGATGCACTCTCAACCCCAAAGTTGGCATGAGGATTATTTTAAACTAAAGATATTTAAGATTCAAAAGAGGCAAAAAGAAGCCTTCTCGAAGCTTCCTTTATTTCAGTAAAAGCAGAAGCTTCTGGGAATGAGGCTGCCGTTCATCTCCTCTCCAGGAGTTTATGAACATAAAATAGAAGACCATGTGCACCTGCATAAACAAACATGATCACAAACTTCCTTATCTCCCTTCGTTCTTCCCGCAGGAGTCTTTTTGCCCCCCCCTCCCCTATTAAGTTAGGTAAATAAATCATCATCACTTCTTTTGTGCACTGCCGTATGCATACATATTTTTTCTCTTGTCAGTTAAATTTGCAGCCCCTCAGAACTGAACCTAAGAGGGTTCAGGAAAAGTTTTTCCTCCCCAGCAATGGATCAAACAGCCCAACTCATTATTCCTCATGTGGAACCACTTGGAGGTGTACATTCCATGGTGTCCCAGTGTTTCCTCAGTGGAACTGAACCCGGGTTGCCCACAGCCACCCCTGCTCATTAGCACTCCCCTTACAGTCTTCCTTTCCCTGCCCCACCTCCCCATTCCCCTGCCAGTGTTTCTTAGGATCTCCTCCCAAGTAAACTGCGTGCATTCAATCCTTGTCTGATTGCTCCTGAGGGAACATAGCCTAACATATAAACTGATAAGGAGAGGTTAGAGAAAAATGAGAGTCATTCATGGACACGCAGAGGAGAGAGTTTCAAGGAGGAAGTGATCAGCATGGTGAGATACTACAGGGAGGAGCTTTCCGACAAGGGAAAGCTTGTAGGCAGTGATAACCTAGGCAAGTTTATTTCAGAGGAGTAACGAGAAAAGGTAGATTTCTGTAGGTTAAAAAAAGAAGAAAGGAAAAATTCGGGACTTTAGACTACTTCTAAAAGTAAGTAAGGTAATAATAAGAGGAAGACACGAGACTGAGAAAGGTATTTTATTATAGGAGAGACAAGCATAGTTACATACTGAGTAGAAAGAGCCAGCAAGGCCGGGCGCGGTGGCTCACGCCTGCAATCCCCAGCACTTCGGGAGGCCAAGGCGAGCGGATCATGAGGTCAGGAGATCGAGACCATCCTGGCTAACATGGTAAAACCCCGTCTCTACTAAAAATACAAAAAATTAACCAGGCATGGTGGCGGGCACCTGTAGTCCCAGCTACTCGGGAGGCTGAGGTAGGAGAATGGCGGGAACCCGGGAGGTGGAGCTTACAGTGAGCCAAGATTGCGCCACTGTACTCCAGCCTGGGGGACAGAGAGAAACTCCATCTCAAAAACAAAACAAAAAGAAAAGAAAGAGCCAGTAAGAAGGGAAAGTTGAAAATAAAGGAGGCCAGGCGTGGTGGCTCATGCCTGCAGTCCCAGCACTTTGGGAGGCGGAGGCAGGAGAATCACTTGAGCGCAGGAGTTTGAGATCCGCCTGGGCAACATGGTAGAACCCCATCTCTACTAAAAATGCAAAAATTAGCTAGGCATGGTGGCATGTGCCTGTAGTCCCAGCTACTCAGGAGGCTGAGGTGGGAGGATTGCTTGAGTCTAGGAGGTCAGAGGCTGCAGTGAGCCAAGATCGTGCTACTGTACTCCAGCCTGGGCAACAGAAAAAAGATAGGAAGGAAGGGAAAGGAAAGAAAAGGAAGAAGAAAAAAAGAAAGACTATAAAGGAAAGGGGAATGGTAATCTGTGGGGAATGTCCATAGGCAGTGAGAGAGAATGGGAGACGTCAGAGGAACTAACGTCCTCCAGGAGGGGAGATGCTTCTTCCATTCACACAACAGGAAAGGAGACAAGGATTAGAGCATCTATTTGTTTTGTTTTGTCTTTTTAAGGCAAGACCAAGAATGGGTGGTGGAGAGTCACTTGAGGAGACCATAAAGGCTTGACAAAGCTGACTTGTGGAATGGGGAGAAGGCTGACAGGTAGGACCAGTGGGTATGGGGAAGGCCTTGTCAAAGCCACAGATTGGTAGTGGCATGGATCCAAACAGTGCTGCAATTCTCCTAAAAGCTCTCAAGGTGTAAGAACAGAATTTGATTGATTCACTGTTAGGTTTTGCCAGTGGATGAGACTTAAGGTCCAAGGTTCTGGATGATTGAAAGTATGAATTCAAAGAGTGATCGGGGGCTGGGTGCAGTGACTCATGCCTGTAATCCCACCACTTTGGGAGGCCAAAGCAGGTGGATTACCTGAGTTCGGGGATTCAAAACCAGCCTTAGCAACATGGTGAAACCCTGTGTCTACCCAAAATTACAAAAATTAGCCAGGTGTGGTGGCACATGCCTGTAGTCCTAGCACTTTGGAAGGCCAAGGCAGGAGGATCACCTGAGGTCAGGAGTTCGACACCAGCTTGGGCAACATATTGAAACCTCATCTCTACTAAAAATTAGCCAAGCATGGCAGTGGGTACCTGTAATCTCAGCTACTCGGGAGGCTGAGGTGGGAGAATCACTTCAACCTGGGAAGCGGAGGCTGCAGTGAGCTGAGATCTCACCACTACACTCCAGCCTGGGAGACAGAGTGAGGCCCTGTCTCAAAAAAAAAAGAGAGAGAGAAGAAAAGAAATAGTGGCCAGGGGCTGAACAATGGGCTGGAGACTAGGTAAGGGAGGAGGGAAGACAGTAAGGGGCTGTATGTGAGCAGAGAGAGATGATGTACGAAATGTAGGAAGGCAAGAGAGCTAAAAAGCAGGCTGGGGTCAGAGGTAGAATATAGAGGTTTGGGATTTCAGAAAGAGCAGTTCTAGACCAGATATGGTGGTTCATGCCTGTAATCCCAGCACTTTGGGAGGCCGAGGCAGGAGGAACAATTGAGGTCAGGAATTCAAGACCAGCCTGGCCAACATGTTGAAACCCCATCTCTACTAAAAATTAGCCGGGCATGGTAGCAGGCGCTTGTAATCTCAGCTACTTGGGAGGCTGAGGCAGGAGAATTGCTCAAACCCCAGAGGCAGAGGTTACAGTGAGCTGAGATCACACCATCACTCTCCAGCCTGGGAGACAGAGCAAGACTCTGTCTCAAAAAGAAGAAAGCAGTTCTAGACTAATTCTGACTGATGACAGTGGGGTGATCGATGTTGATTCCCCGAATAGTGAGGACAGTGAAGACAAGTGTTAATGACATCTAAGGCTAGGGGTGTTGCATGGGTTGACCACAGTGAATACTGAAGGAAAAGGGGGGATTTTGTGTGGAGAGGAAGACTATGAGGCAGAGTGTGGAGAAGACTCCAAGAGTAAATGCACGAGTTAATGGGGG